ATCTAAACAGGATTTCAAATAGGTTCTGTTGGAGTCTTGGACCAGTAAGCATCAGATCATTTAGGCTAACATTGGATGTTGATTCACTGGAAGCATCAAAAACAACTCATAGTTTTGTGGTTGTACTGTCCACTTTAAATACTGCTTGGTGTGGTATGTAGTATCTGCCCTCATGAAGATTTTGAAATGATACTTTTTTCATGTGCCATAATTTCAAATATTCATCCATGAATGGTTCGCATTGTTCTTTAAGGCAAAGTTCTCTCAAAAACCGGTTTTCCAGGCTTCTTAAACGGGCACCCGCTCTGGGTCTTGTTTCTCCTAAAACTTGCCTGCCCTGTTTGAAAGGAATTCTGACTATAAATATTCCTTGTTCATCTCGATAGGTAGTCTCATCGTAAAATCGCAGATTTCGCCATCTTCTTATATATATTTATTTGTTTCTGGCAATTCTTCTAATTCCGAAAATTTCGTGAGTTGGCTATCTTCTTCGTGTCCGGAAATCATGCTGGTCATTTGAAGTGGAAGGTGGTTTGATTGACGATACTCCTCCAGATACCATCCATCCTAGTTCCGTATATTGCTTAAGAAGCCCTTTTCTTGTTTTTGAATGCCTTTTAGAATAATATGCTTATATTCTCTCGCTCCAACTATAGCATCAATTGGACTTGGTTTCATATAGGTTGGATCTACTAGGATTTCATTCGTGTACGAGTTGTCGACTTCTTATTGATATCGTGTAGTTGATTGGGTTAATTTGGGAGTACTAACATTTTCACTTAAAGTGAAAAATTGCTCAGAAAGCGTGGCTTGATGAGGAGATCTACTGCAAACTACTGCAAGATGCAAACTTCTGGGCTACCATCTCATATGCCTGAAATTTCTGCTCTGATTTTCTGACGTGGGAGATTAAGACGCTGGGCTGCGTCTTCTGGGATAAACGTAGATTGTGATCCTTGGTCAATGAGGACAGGTAAATACTGGGTGGTGCTAGCTGTTGCTACTTCTACCAATGCTGTGGCAAGCAGGACATTCTCTTCGTGATCTTTTACGTGTGAAAAGGATTCCCCTTTGATATGGGAATAACCTCTTAGTAATTTTTGACAATAAGGCCCTTTTGACTAAGGTTACCTTGCTGTCGCTAGGTATATTCACAGTGCCCTGCTAGATGTGACAACTGTGAAGGGTGTTGTGTATAGAGTGCAGCCTCACACTCTGGATATAGGCTTGGGTGTTGTAGTATGTGAGTAATACACCAGAAGAGGTTTTATACTGATTTATTAATTGAAATTAGCCGTTATTTATATAAAAAGTTATTGTTAAATATAATACGTAATTTGGAACTATGTGATGATTCTGCAGTTTGTTAACCCGGAGTTGTTTGTATAAGCATTATTGCGTCGATCAAAATTGCTGCAATTTTCAAACTTGCTAGTTAATTAATACCAATAATGTAAAATTGTTTGTATTAAAAAGGTTGCGTCACTGCGGGTCAATAATTCCAAACTGATCCATTTTATTAATTTCAAAATAGGTAATTTCTTTACATTGTTTTATGGCTAATTTTGGCTGTTTTTTAAGATTAGCCAACGTGATAGTTTGAGGTATTTTGTCTTTGATCATTTCTCCTGAGGTTGTTGCGTGTTTGGCTATTTTCATTTTGATTTGAGGTTCTTTGATCAGTTCTTCTTGATGTCTGATGTCTTGAGTTGTTGAAGTTTCGTTGATTGTTTTCATTATGTAGGATTGTATGATGATGCTTCCTGCAGACTTTGCAAGTTACAGTGCTGCGACATCTAATATGTTTTTCGCGGTTCAGACAGTTCACGCAAAGGTTTATTTTCTGAACAAAACGATTCTTTTTTTCTACCGACAATCTTCTAAAGGATTGGCAGTGATATATCGCATGATCTTTCTCGCAATATTGGCAAGCTGAGTTGTTTCTTCTGCTTGGGCTTGTTACTTCCAGAGATTGAAATCTTCTTTCAAGAAATTCCATGAATTGTTGGTAGTCTTGAATTTTGTGTGGTTTCGTTATTGTTTGTTCATACATCTTGTTGGTTTCGGAATCCCATTTCCGAGTGATTATTCTGATGATGATTGGACCCCATGACTGTGCTTACTCCTGTATATTCTAGCCCACGAGTACATTATTTGGTGATGTCATCCAAGAGCTTTAATCTTTCAACTTTTCCGGTGGAAAGGTTTGGGAGGTCTAATAACTTGTCTATCAGTTTCGAGGCTAATAGTCGTTTGTTTTCATATCTATTCTGAAGCAAGTCCCATGCTGTCTCGTAGTTGTTTTTAGTGGTTGTCAGATGCTGAATGAGTCTTGCAGCTTCTCCTCGAACATGTGTTTTAAGTAGTTGTATCTTCTCTGCCTTGAAAAAATGTATGTTGTCGTGGACTACTCGCAAAAAAAACATCATGTAAAGAGCCCCAGTTCTCGTAGCCTCCGTGAAATGTTGGAATGGTTATTTGTGGTGACGCAAGATGTGTTACAGGCCAGATTGATTGGGTCTGTGGTAATTGCGGCTGACATGAAGCTTGTGCCTCGATTGTTTCCGTTGATAATTTTTCCAACGTGTCTTCATACTTCATCTCATACTCATGAAACTTATCATCTTCGAAGTAGGCACTGGTGAATGATTTTTCATGAATTATTATCTCTTCGTGCAATTCTAGAATAGCTTCCCATTGTTCTACCAGCTTTTTCTGTTGGTATGCATTACCTTATTCTTGATTTTGATTCAGTTAGATCTTGGTTGATTTGGTCGATTATTCTATCCAATTTCTCACACTTAAGATTTTTTGTTTCTTCAAAAGTAAGAGTCATGGCCGGATTAAGCTTTCATGCGGCCCGGGGCTAGTGAAGTTATGGGGCCCTTGATTCTCCATCTCGTAGAAAAAATAATGTTCCTAACTCGTGCGGAAAGTCTCTTTTCCGTACTTGATTGCTTGCCGAACGACGCGCAGCTAATAATAACTGGAATCGCATGTAGAAAAGTGGCATTTTCCACACTAGTTAGGAAATACTATTTCAAACCTGTTCTGAACCAGTTCCAAAAAAGTGAACGCGAGAAAACACCTTTGTAGTTGTGAACCTGTCACCAAAAATTCTGAAAAAAAAAGAATGTTCCAGGTGATTTTCTAGGTAGCGGTTCACCTGTAACAATTATCAGCTGCATGCTTGCAAAATGAAGTAGGACAACAGCTAAGTATCGCCACAACCGGTCATGCCACTGTGTTTGAAAAGTTTTTTGTTAAAAATAGGTTAAATTGTTCAGCTGAAATTTTGCGAAACGTGACGCGAGAGACTAGTGCATTGATTATTTATTGTTTGCCCATGGGCCCTTGACCAGCATAAGCCTCAACGCCTCAACGTGCGTTGTTCAAAAGTAGGGCCCCTGCGGGGCCCCTCTGAAACGCGGGGCCCGGGGCTCCAGCCCCTTTAGCCCCCCCCTTAATCCAGGCATGGTAAGAGTTGTGGACAATTTTGTAGTCCATCAATGATCGTTTCAAGGTATTTCTTGCAAGTCTCATACCTCTCTTTTATCTGTTGCCGGTATTTTTTAGTAAAGAAGGCGTGGTTTGGTTCATTGAACTTGTTTAGTTCATGTTCATTTTCTTGAACTGCATCCCATAGTTCTTCTAGTGCTCCAAGTTTTTGTTCAATTTGTTCTACATACTGTTCAGTTTTTCTTGATTGGCCATCTTTTTTACAGTTGATGTAAAGCTGCATGATCTTTTTGCCTAGTTCTTCTTACTGAGCAGCACGTAAGTTCATTTCTTCCGTCATTGTTTTGTTGATTTTGCAATGGGCTTAGTTGGACCTCTGGAACCGCTATTGGTGGGACCCCAGGGAGTCGGTTGATAGCTGCTTGGTTGGTTGGACCTCTGGGACCGCTCTTGGTGGGACCTCTGGTAATCTGGTTGATGGCTGCTTGATTTGGTTGGACCTTTGGGACCGCTGTTGGTGGGACCTATGAGACGTGGTTGCCCTATTGGGCTTGGTTGGACCTCTGGGACCGCTGTTGGTGAGACCTCTAGGACTGTGGTTGGTTGGACCTGTGGATCGCTACTGGTGGGACCTCTAGGACTCTGGTTGATGGACCTGTGGATCGCTACTGGTGGGACCTCTAGGACTCTGGTTGCCCGCTGTTGCAGGCTGCTGATTCTTGACCGTTGTAACTTTTTGCTCGAAGGACCATGTACGCTCCAGGAGACTGTGGTTCTCTGGATGGTATTTTCTGCTTGATCCTGATGGTTTAGGATAGATCAGAAGGGCCATAGTACCAGACAGGACTTAAAGTCACCGTACTTACACTAGCGCGTAAGATAGGTAACTTACAACCAGACTAAAGCACTTGTAAGTTGGGAGGAAGACCCCAGCCCACTTGCTATAAGGATTAAATTAAAACCGGTAACCAGACAAAGCACTTGCTACAGGTTTAAAAAAGGGCCGAATGTAACCAGACAGAGCATCTGCTACAATAAGGCTAAAGCAAAAGTAATTGTTAGAGCGCAGTCTCACGACTCTACTAGCGTTGCTAGGCCAATGGTGACTTGGGCATAATTTAAGTAAGAGAAACAACAAACAAAGTTTGCATCTGATTTTAATAATGAAATTGATAGCCTTTTATATACAATAAATGCTGATTTTGCACATACCGATGATCGTCATTTGCAATAATAAAAAGTAGGCTGCTTATAATTAAATAATTCTAATGTGTACAGTGTGGTAAAAATATAATATTAAATGTTCCAATTTGGATAAATAGACAATCTCAAAAAAGAAAACGCCTACTTATCTACATCACTCAAAACGAGAAAATGCATAAAAGGGTTACTAGAAATTATTATTGGTTCGGCAACACCTCACCAAAAAATTTCAGCATCTAAGTAGTATAAGTATCTACCTACCTTATCTATTATTTCATTGAAGTACTTACGTACCTTATTCCTCTTCAAGTTATTAAAAATATTATTATGTACACAATTTTTCTTTCAGTAACAGATCCACTTTAGTAGATTATGATTAGCTATAATATGGCCAAATTACTGATATTTTCTATTTTTTTTATAATACGAACAGTATTATCTGAAGACTTACCAACAAATTACGAACATTTCATTGGAGATGAAATTAAATCTGGATTAAGTGCTGACCAATCATATTTCATTCTCAATGGAAAAAATATTACAATATTTAGTGGCGCTTTCCACTATTTCAGGGTGCACCCAAACTATTGGAGAGATCGTTTGAGGAAAATGAGAGCCGCTGGACTTAATACTGTCGAGACTTATGTTCCATGGAATTTGCATGAACCAGAAAATGGTTGGATAACATAATGGTTTTATAAAATAATTTCTGATTTGTTTTAAGGTGTTTTCGATTTTGGTAGCGGAGGCTCAGACTTTGAACAATTCCTAGATGTTGAGAGATTTATTAAAACTGCCCAAGAAGAGGATCTTTTTGTACTTTTAAGACCTGGGCCGTACATATGTGCAGAATGGGAGTTCGGAGGTATAACATAACTATTCAGATAACCAAAACACTCTTAATTTCCTGTTCACAGGTCTACCAGCCTGGTTACTAGACAATGCCAACATTAAACTCCGTCAAAGTGACCCAATTTACCTCAAATTCGTCTTCAGATATTTCAAAGAGCTATTCTCCATCATAGCTCCTCTACAGTTTACAAATGGTGGACCAATTATAGCTATGCAAGTTGAAAATGAATACGGCAACACTTGGAATCACGATCCTGATTATCTGCGTACTTTAGCACAAGTAAGCAACATCTAACCATGTCATCTCATTCAATTGACATTTTATGAAAGGTTTTCAGAAGTAATGGTATTACAACGCCATTATACACATCTGATCCAATGTTGAGTGTTGGCGACCAAGGCGCACTTCCTGGTGAATTGTTGATCACTGCTAATTTCAATATGAATGTTACTGAGAATTTGGATAAATTACATAGTTTTCAAGTTGATAAGCCTACAATGGCCATGGAGTTTTGGTCAGGTAAGATCAATGAATCTGATTTTTTTGTCGTTTTGTTTATCAAAAACCATCAAGATCGGTCTGAAGTAGCCTGTGATTGTTCAAACAACTTTTTGAAAATATTTAAATATACCCAGAAAGTCCTTTTATCTAGATCTATCTTGGGCTTGCGCTTTGTACTGTTCACTGTCTCCAATTGAAAAAAGCTGGAAACCTCTTTCCACTTCACCTATTATTGTTTTTTGAGGGTTTTTATTCCAGGCTTTCTGGTAATAGAATCACAATGTAGAGAAATAATAATGTTTTCATCATCCTATAGGTTGGTTTGATCACATTACCGAAAACCATACTGCCAACCTAGTACCAATACAAAGATACGAAACTTACTACGAAGAAATTCTTGCTTACCCATCATCTGTAAATATTTACATGTTCGTTGGAGGTACCAATTGGGGATTTATGAATGGAGCTGGCGATGTTACTTATGAAATGAACAATTCTGGATTGCAACCAAGTGTAACAAGGTAAAAAAAATCAAACAGCTATGATCTTGTAAAATAGCATAGAATTCTAGCTATGACTATGATGGACCTATTACTGAACAAGGGCAAATATCAGAAAAGTTTAATGCAACGAAGAAACTTCTTGCTAAATATAATACTGTCAAGACTAAGTTACCTGAAATTTCTGAAACACCTGCAGCTGTTACGTTTGATGATATAAAAGTAAGTTGAGCTTCTGGGTATTATAAAAAGATTTATCATCATTTTTGTAGATTGAGCAGCAAATTTTACTCAAAGATATTATTGACTCCCACCCGAATAAAATAAAGAGTAACAATGTTATTCCAATGGAAGCTATTGGTAAGACAAATTTAATTAATAATTCTATAGTTTAAAACTTTCTTTTAAGGTCAAAATTTTGGTTACATCGTGTATAGAAAAACCAACCTCAACTTAAACGCCCATGCTATCCTAAAAATAACTGGATACGTAAGAGACCACGTCCTAGTATTGGTAGATGGAAAATTAATGAATCCAGCTTTGACCAGTGTAGATGATCTTAACAAATTTGGGTAAGAATTCCGCAAACTCAAAAATTTCGTTTAAACAAATTCTTCTAGCTATTGGAGACTAGTTGATTCTGCTATAACACTCCCTAACCAGGCACTTACCAACGTAACTTTGGATTTAATTGTTGAGAATAATAGTAGGACTAATTTTGGGATTTTAAATCAGTTTAACCAACTGAAAGGTAGGTACTTCAACATTTTTTTGTGTAAAGGTGGATTGGTATATGTTTATTATTCCAGGTCTTACTGAAGATGTCTATATTGATGATAACATTATTCAAAATTGGGAACTTATTCCTCTTGATTTTAAAAAATCTTGGAATAATGCTCTTACTGGTTGGCACGAGGTTAAAAATAGAGAATTGACTCCTGCGCTGTATAAGGTTTAAATTAGTTACTGTAATTGATAATTTAAACAAAAAAACAAAATATTCTAGGTTACTTTCACTGTTTCTGAACTTCGAGACACTTATATCAACGTCCAAGAATGGCAAAAGGGCATTGTGATCATCAATAATTTTGTCTTAGGAAGAATTTTCGCCGTTGGTCCACAACAAACTCTATATTTACCTGCGGGACTTCTCAAGGAAGGAGAAAATGAAATTATTATTTTTGAGCATTTCAGTGCTCCTGAATATGTTAAGTTTTCTGATAAGCATATTTGGGGATATGGATCATCTATCAAAGAATTGTAGTAAAATAGATTGAGCAATTTTACATCATACCTAGTCATTGGAATAAATAGTAAAAAGTAAAGTCTCAATTTTACTACTTACAATAATTTTTCCTTAAATCACTAAATTTTTCTTATAAAATGAATCTTTTAATTTATTTTTATTATTTATTTTATAAAGCAAAGCAGAGAATGAGATACACTCAGACTATTTGCCCCATGGCCCACAGAGTGCCATTTAACATTCAACCATGTCACACTCCTGTCTGAGAGTCCTATAGATCGTACTGCTCATAATTGTTTTCCTCAACCTGCGCCGGTGAGATTCGCGCAACTGCTTTAAAGGAAATTCGGTAAAGACAGCGTTATGATCCGAGTACGCCGCATCCACAGATCGGCTCTCCAACTGCAAACCCAAATTGGAGCAGACGTAATCAATTGCGGTGGCGGAGTGATGTTAGCAGATTAGAGACAGCTGCTGTAACGTGAAATGTTTTATCGTTGTAATCAATATTCAGGTCTCCCGCCAGCACAATTTAGCTTTTTATGGGAATATTTGAAAGCAATACCTCAAGTCTATCCAGGAACTCATAGACTAGTATTAGGAGATAGGAGATGATCATACCTACATGTTGAACTCATCCGAAAAACCGTTGAAAACTCAAAATTGTCTTTCGTGAACTAGGCAGCCAAATCTTGTACACGCTTCAAAGTGCATGTCCTTGTACAAAGATCTATTTATTAGTGTCAGTACCGCAATTTTTATACGTGCCCCTACAAAATTTACTAATTACAACATAATTTGGAACACTTAGTGGTTCATTTTCGTTCAACTAATGTTCAGTCAAGAGAACTATACTTCGATAGTTTAACGAGTCAAGGAAAATGTACAATTCATCTATTTACCGACGAAGAGATTGAATGTTGAGCAACACAACTGTACTAATATCACGTTTGTTCAGCAGTGCAGTGTCAGACTTAAAACTTGTGCAAAACTTAACCCTTAAACTGCTTGAAAACTAAATTTGAATAAATCTTAGAGAAGGTAAAGGACATAAAGGAGTAGAAACGCGCCATTCTGCTTATGAAACTAAAGTGAAGCCAAGTTTTTGCCAGGTGTTTGGCACTAAAATACAGGTAAACCATTGAATTGCCTATACCGCCATTTTTTTGTTGCCAAAATACCTGGAAAAAAACGACTTAATTTTCCAATTCCATGTTACTACTCCTCTTTACCTTTACCTGCTCTAAGGAATAAATAAACCCTAATAGGCTTAGGTACAGTAAGACACTCTTAAGGAATGCGGCCAATGCAACAATGTGCTCGCGGCTACTCAGTGGTGTGGGAGTAGGTTCATTATTGTATGTATAGTTTTAGCTTTATAGGGCACCACTGGTTTACAAAATAAAATCTGCGGACTTAAACCAGAAAGTGCCTGATCTCCAAAATTCCTACAAGATGTTCCGACCTGATGTATAGGTACATTTAAAAACAACTTGACCTTAGTTTGGTTGAGGTCAGTAGGGGTAAAATAAGAGTCAAATATAAAAACAATGAGTATAAATCTATCTAATATGTCCTGGGGGGGGGGGGGGGGGGTATGTTTAGATTTGCAATTGCATTCCAGAGGCCAATAGAAGATGGTATGTACATAAAATACCACAGTATATATTATTATTAAATGCAAATGTCAAAATTACCAAAAGGTAGCAAGGACCAATTTGGTCTTATAAAAGACACTCCAATAAATTTAAGATTTACCAATAAAATGTTTGACCACCTTACTCCAATGAAAGTAAAAGAGAACAAATAATAATTAATAAGGAGATTAATCATATTATTTAAAACCTGTGCACGCTTATACCATGGTATACCATGGCAGGTTTGTACAAAATGTCACCTTAAATATAGTAAATTAATAATCATTGATACAGTATACCCATTGTAATAATGAAGGCGGTAAAACAAAGTTGGAAATGTACCAAGTTAAATATAAGAAACACTATTAATAATAATAAAAAAAATAGTTAAGAAACGTTAATAAATCAACGGGTACATCACCCCCTTGTGGTCCTCCCTGCAGTTTAAACATCCATTTACATTACTGTCACATAGGGTAACTTTCGGTTCCAAGTTAAGTGTTGTGTGTACTCTGACACCCCAACTTCGAGACTAGCAAACCGTCAAAAAGGAAGAACCCACTGGTAAAGTAAAATCTAAAAACCCTGAAAGAGTACAAATCTTAGAACCCCTTCAGATTATTTATAAAATCAAAAACCCAACCCTCAAACGGTACATAAATTTAATTAAATTAAAGTTAAAGTAGCAAAATTCCCTGAAACCTGTAAGTTGTCTTTAAAAGAGAATCCCCTTAATTAATAAGGCCATTAATGTCCATTTTGGGAGTGACTAGTGAGTTTTTTACTGACAAATTGACCCTCTAGGAGGTCAAGTAACCCTTTTTTTTATTGAATCCCAAATATCTACAAAAATACTGATAACGCTTAAATTTACCTGGTTACAATTCGGGCTTCTAGTTGAACAAAACGTGCTCTTTGCTCGCACGACAACTCAACAAAATGGCGTAGACTTTTGTCTCCTGAAAATTCTAAGTGGTTGGCTTACAAATACGGGGACTTACGACCAAATCCAAGTTTTCACCCCAAAACCAATTAGGCCAGCAACCACTTGAGCTCCCAACGCCTCTAAAATCCCACAAAAGGCGGATGTTCCAAGGAACGCAGCAAAGAGGACCGCTGGTAAAATCTGCCAAACAACTTGTTGCTTGCTCAACGTGCGAATTTAAACAGAACGGCCCTATTTTCGCAATTCACCAGGTGAGCTCATATGAAAATTTTCCCAGAATTCTTTGTTTTCTAAGATGCCCTCTGGTGCCAGATTGCCGGTCTTCACCTGGAAAACGAAACAAACAACTTAATACGAACAACCCAAACCACATTGATGACCAACAAAACTCAAAGTTGTTATCTAATTTTCTCCCCTAACACTAATTAATTAATTAATAATCATCACCTACCCTAATGGTCAAGACACCTCGGCAACAGCGCTTCCTGAAAAGGATACAAGCGTCTGCGGATCACACGGAGGCAACGCCACGAATACAGCGCCCATAACGTTTTTGCTGCTTGTTTTTTGACGCCTCCGCCTCCTTGTCCTGAATCCTGATTCCTGATGAATATTATTGTTATATTCTACGATTATTTTGCAATTTCCATTTCGTGAAATATCGATATTTAACTAAAAATTTTAGAAAGACTAATGAGAATTAATTTTTTCGGGATGGGGTATCAAGCGGGACCCGGGTACAAAAAAATAATTGATAAGTATACATACATGGCCCTTCGCCTTCGCCCTTCACAGTTGATTTGTAGGCTGTATTTGGCTGTATCACAACCAAGCTGTTTTTGTAAGATTTTGAAAGACAGTATTTAATCTAGATTGTTGAATAATAGCTATTTATATAAATAGCATTAAATATCAAGTACAATAAAGAAAGGCTATATTGTACGAATAATTTTATGACCGAGCGAGCTTGCGAGCGAGGCTATTAAATAATAAGTCAATATTCAATAAAGCCTGTTTATGTGAGCGTGATACGGTGATACCTACGTAATGTTTTAATGCGTTTATGTAAATTTCCATCTCGACGATAAATAACCCAGATAACACAGAGGGATCCATAAGACATCCATTGGTTGTCCACTGGACGGCCAAGCAAAAATACTAGGAAGTCCGATGGACATCCAGATTAAGTTCAGTGGATGTCTCATGGACATCCTCTGGCTATCCAGTTGGCACAGCTCTGGATCATTCCTGGATGTCCAGATCATAGCCATGGGGTACCGCTTAAATATCCATTTATGGATGTCCACGAGGCATCCACTGGACTACTTTTGGACATCCTATGGATGACCATGTCCAGCAGTTTTTAGGCCATTTATGGAATATTTTGGATACTTTATGGATGTTCTAGCGGCATCCATTTTTTCTGCCATTCATGGAATACTCCTGGACATAATATGGTTGTCCATAAAGCATCCATTTATGGACATGAGCTGGAAATCAAATTTCAAAAAAATTGCTGTTAAACAAACTTTATTGGATCATTTTATTACTTACACCTAAAAACATTATTTACATAAAATAAGTTTGTGTCATTATTCTGCGGTTTATTTAGGAAAAGGAAAATTATTTAGTATATTCTCAGAATTAAAAATAAAAAATATATTATTAAGTGAGCTGTGCATCGAAATTATTACTGAAACTATAGTTTTTCAATTTTTAATTCTGCGAAAAAGCTTAATAATATCCTTTTCCTAAACTAAACCGCAGAAACAAACTTTCAAAAAATATTATTTTTTATATTAGACAAAAAAAACAGTTATTCTTGGCAAATTAACATTAACATAAAATTATTAAATAACATAAATCATATACGGTCGAAAATACTGGACGGACAAAAAGTGACACTTCAGTCCCTGTCATGAGGGAGTGAAATTGTCGCTTTAGTCCCGGAAGTACGAAAAAAATATATATTTTTTTTTAACAATAAAAAAAAACGACTATTCTTATAGGAACTACTAAAATATCAATAAAAAAATATTGTTTTTTGTCAAACAAAACAAGTTTTACTCTCAAAGGAACCCAACAAACCAAAATAAAAACGAAGATAGCAGACAAGTGTTCACTTCCTTTCTTTTGCTCTACGCATCCAATTTTTGATACTAGTTTCAATGTCCTTTCTAGAAGAATCCTTAAACTTTTTGAAAACAGCATCTGGAACAATAAATTATAAAATAACTATAACTATTTAGACTGATAAATGCAAATAATATACCCTCAACGACTTGCATTAATAAATAGACGTAAAAGCTTAAAATGCTAGACATTAAATTTGCATTTTACGCCCTTAGTACAAAAAATAGTTACTATTTTTTGTATAACTAAGTACCTTTTATTTTAAAATCGAGTAAGACAGTCAGCAGTTTTTAAATTCTAAAAAATGGTTTAAAACTATTGTATGATATACTACTTACCAAACAACACACTGCATAGTTTTAGTTCTGAAAAATTTTTTTTCCCTTTTTTT